AAACAAACAACAAAACAAAACACCCTATCAAAGTCATGATCTTAAATTTCATTATCACATCTACTTTGAAATTTATTTTCTTTGTAGCAACCGGTGGACAACTTTCATACTACTCTTACATTTTCTGAATATCACATTAGAACCTCAAAGATTAAGAAAAACAAACATTCTAGATTATTCTATTCTCCCAATGCCAAGTAATTACAGACCAACCAATAACCTTAGTTTCAAAAATCAGAAAGAACAGGGAAAAATTGGAGATAGTTTAGCTTCTGAGTCAATGCAATTTTAAACTGTATTTTCTCCTTTATTATATAAGTAAAACAAAGCAAAACCCCTGGTAAGTATTACTATATTTTGGGTTACAAAACAAACTCTAATTTAAAAGATGAAGTCAGGGATGCTTTATGAATCAGTCTTTTCAGGCTTAATTCTCTAAATTTCCAACTAAATCCAAACAAAACACTAAAACCCTGTGTGTGTATACACACACACACACACACACACACACACACACACACACACACACACACTTATTTATAATATATATATTCAAAAAGATATATATATATATATTTATATTTCAATACGGGTCTTGTTATGTTGTTTGTGTTGTCCTAGAGATTATGCACTCAAATATTCATCCTGCCTCAGCTTCCTGAGTATTTGAAACTAGAGAAGTTTAAGTTGTGCAACACCACATCTATCTTTTAAAAGTTAAGAATTCAAAAATTAACTGCTAAGATTAAGAAGCACTTGCTATGCACTAAACTCTAAGGGCACATAGACAGATTGCCAGTGATTGCAAAGTTCTTATTTTTTATCAGTTTAAAAACCCCAATAGTCCCCATTTTTAAAAACTACCTTCATCTAGTACGCTCTTGCAAGTCTTTTCTTTTATAATTGCTCAGACCAAAATACATAACTTTCACTTATCCACCATCTCTCAATTCAGAATCATGTCCATCTTCTCAGTCTCATCCTTCAAGTGCCTCAAGAACTTCTCCCATCACTGCTTGGTACTTGTACATCTTGTACTCTGAGTCTATCAACCAGTTCTGGGCATTTCCCTGGATGATTTTCAGTCAGTATTGAGAAATCTGGTTATCTAACTTTTCTGTATTTCTACTTAGACATCACTTAGGTATTTCTTTGCCAAGTCTAAATAAAAAGCAACATCTGACTCCTGCTTTGATGCTCCTTGCAACTGACCTAATACTGTCTACATAGATTTTGTTATTTTTATCTTGTAGTTATAGACTAAGTACTCAATATAGCTACTGAATGAATAAAAACTATTTCTTTCAATGTTGATTTCCTTCTTTGGGCTCTTAAAACTTCAAGTGCTTCCGGCCAAAGATGTAGCAGTGCTGATGCACATGCCCATAATGTGTAGAGTTCTAGGTTCCATCCCTACCATAAAATATACTTGTAACTATCATGCTGCAAACTACCATCAGAATAGTAAGGTAAGACTTAAATGTAAGAATGTATCTAAGCTTTTAGAAACACCAATCCCAAGTGTAAAATGACATTTACAGTTTCGAGATCTTCGTATTTCTGTAAGCAACATTCACAATATCCTTTTTTTCTCTTTTCCTTCAACTGGAGTTGAACTGGGGTTCCACCACATTTATCGCCATCCGTAGTAATTCTAGTGATTGAAATACATGGTAACAAAATTAACTGCTAAACTCAATGATTAATTTAAAAATTACTTTCTTAAACAATCATATGCAGAATCTGCCATAATCAGAGACTTGTAAGAGCAAAGACCTTTAACTGCATTTCAAGAAATATTAAAAAAAAATGCAATAAATATTCTGAAGAACAGTTCAAATGGTCAAGAGAAACAGGTTTCATTACTGGAGCACCACTCTCATTGAGAATTTCTAAATAATGCACTTAAAATAAGACTAAACCTAGCATAGAGTTATTAAAAACATACACAGGAAAACAAGTACACATACTAGTACCACGGCATCAAGTACGATACCCCAAGTGTTCATGAAGAACTGGCAATAGTGAGAATCTGAAGAGCATTCCTTCTAAAAATAAACTTTCAAACCAACCTGAGTTTAGGCTGAACTTGCTTTTGGATGTTAGATGGCTTATCTCCATCAAAAGGGCTGCAAGGCTTCTGAGTAGAGTAGTTTATAGAAGGCATACTGGTCAGCTGAAGGTAAAATGGCCTGTAAGACCTAAAGGAGTAAAGACAAATATTGAGTGTCTCTAGAATCAAAGGGAGGTTTAAAGCCTTGCATTTCAAAATCATGTAATTCACCCCAATCTGAAATAAACAATAGAGACTTGGTAGGGGTCATCTTCCTTTCAAACAATCAATTTGTAGGCCTGTTCTTTTCTTCTTTTTGGTTTTTTGAGACAGGGGTTCTCTGTGTAGCCCTGGCTGTCTTGGAATTCAACCAAGCTGGCCCTGAACTCAGAGATCCGCCTGGCTCTGCCTCCTGAGTGCTGGGATTAAAGGTGTGTGCCACCACTGCTGCCGCCGCCACCTGGCTTGTAGGCCTGCTCCTTTAACATTTAAAAAACACTTTTTTAAATTAAAAATATTTTTTCACACAATATTCTGATCATCGTTTCCCCCTCCCTCATCTCCCAGATCCTCCCCACTCAAAAATCGCAATTTAAAACATACCAAAACACCTTCCACCTTAACTATTTGAAACTGTACAGTTTAGTCACTTAAGCATTAAATTCTGGAATCAGTATACCCTCCTAATCTAACATTAGTGGTTTTCAACCTTGCTAATGCTACAGTCCTTTAATAGCGTTCCTCATGTTGTGGTGATCCCCAACCATAAAACTATTTTTGTTGTTGTTTTATAATTGCAATTTCACTACTATTATGAACTGTCATGTAAATATCTGTTTTCCAATGGTCGTAGACGACCCCCATGAAAGGGGTCATTTGACCCCCTCACCACAACCCACAGGTTGAGAACCACTGTTCTAGATACTACTTGAAACGTACATTTAGTCACATTAAGCATTAAGTTGTGAAAGCACTACCTATCTTCTATAGGCTTACCTTGCAAAAGCAAGAACCCTACTCACTGAACAATAACTATTTCCCTCTAGCCCTTTAACAACCACCAGGGATTGAATCTGAATACTCCAGATGCTTTATGTACATGGGATAATACAGTATTTTTTCCTTCATATTTCTCTTAGGATGATGTGGTTCATCCATGTTGTGGCATGTCAGAATTTCAATCTCTTTAAAACATTCCACTGTCAGAATACACAGGCACATGTATCTTCCATACCTCATTTATCCATACATTTGCTGATTGATGGGCAGGGGTTGCTTATACCTTTTGGCTATTCTATGCTTCTCAGATACATATGGAACTCTCCTAATGGAACTAAAGAAGTCTCACTGTGATATGGATTTTCATTTCTCAACTATTTTTTTTTTCCTTTTGAACTGTAGGGATAATTCTCGATAATAACTCTATAAATATATGACTTGCCTTCTTCCACTTATTGGGTTAATCTTTATATTGCTGTCTTAGTTAGGGTTTCTATCGCTATGATAAAACATTATGACCAAAAGCAACTCGAAGAGGAAAGAGTTATTTCTGCCTCCATGCTCTAATCACAGGCCATCCTGAAAAGAAGACAGAGCTGAACTCAGGGCAGGAACCTGGTGGCGAAAGCTGAAGTAGAAGCCATGAAGGACACTGCTCATCTGCTTGCTGCCTGTGCCTTCATCCGCCTGCTTTCTGTCTTTATCATCATCATTATTTTTTGTTTTTTTTTAATTTTTTTTAAAAGATCGGGTCTCACTGTGTAGCCCTGACTGTCCTGGAACTAGCTCTATAGACCAGACTGGCCTCAAATGCAGAGATTCCCCTGCCTCTACCTTTCTAGCACTGGGATCAAAGGTGTGCACCACCACTGCCAGGCTTCTTTATTATGAATCTATTTAATTTTTATTTATTTGTATGTGTATAGGTATTTGCCAGAATGTATATCTGTGCATCATGATATGTATGCAGTGTCCACAGAAGCCAGCAAAATGCATCAGATTCCCAGGGTCTGGAGTTACAGACAATTGCTAGCTGCCCTGTGGGTGCTGGGAATTGAACACTGGTTCTCTGGAAGAACAGCCAGTGCTTTTAACCACTGAGTCATCTTCTCTCCAGCCCCAAATGCTAAGGTGGAATTACCCACACTGTTAAATCTTCTAGTGCAGTCTACGATTATAGGATGTCTGACCCATTACCAAATTTTGTGACAGGATCTTGCTACGCTGCTTGGGATGGACTCGAACTTGAGATCCTCCTGAGGTTACAAGCATGTTAGATTACCATCAAACCTTGGCAAGGCCTAATTTTAAATTGCAATTTTTCCTCACAGTAACACATTTAAAAACTTCATGTATCTTAAAGATTGTATTATTTATTTGTGTATACATGTATGTCGGGTGCCAAGGACACGGGAAGAGGGCGTCAAGATCCTCGAGAGCTGTAGTTGCAGGTGATTATAAACCACTCAACACACATGCTGGGAATTAAACTCACATGATCTGAAAGAAGAGCCAGCATTCTTAACCACTGAGCCATCTCTCCAGCCCCATAACAGTTTTAAAAGGAAGCTTTCAACACTGTAATCACTTCAGTGAACACCTGACATAATGAGCTATACTTGGCCAAAGAAGTAACTAGAGAGCTAAGAGAAATTAACCCAACTTTTCTAACATACCAAACTAACTTACCTGTTGATTTAAGATTATCTTAGAAAACAAAAGAGTTTGGAAAGCTATCATAGTAAATGTCATATTTAGCTTTTGTATTTCCAAGTAGTATCTATAATTTTTCACAATTATAGGGGAAATCTTTAGTAATTGTTCAAACTAATATGACACTGAATTTAGCCAGAATGATTATTTAAAATACCAAAAAAGAGATGATTTTATGATTAGTCTACAGCAAATACTGTGAATTTAAATCTACATAGGATGAAGCTAAATTCAACCCGTGAACATAAGATAATTAATGCTCTAGGCACAACACTGTCATATAAAGGAAGTAAACATATTAATGGAAATAGGTCTAATGAGATTTTCTCTGTAATACCAACTCAATTTCCCACACACTGGACTTTGACACTTACCGGTTCACATCTTCAACCTTTAAAAAAGGCTTTTTGAGTCTCCCTGCTTGAGAAGAAAAATATCATTAGAACTTTCAGATGGGTACTTAAAGACTCTACTGTGGGTAAAATCCCCTCAAAGTCTTCTAAAACCTATAGAATTGAAAGGTGTAGGCCTAAGGTAAAATATTTTCCAATATCACCCCCCCCCCATATACCAGATCTGTCATATCTGAGAAGACAGAATCTCTCTACTGCAGCCCAGGCTGGGCAGGAACTTTGAATACTCCAGCTTCAATCTCTGCAATTTTGGGATTAGACATGTGCCATCATAACCAGCCACACAAGATTCTTACACCGAATAGTGCTGATATTTTCACACTGTAAAACCTCAATGTACTGTTTTATGCTCATCACAGTGAATGGGTTTGAACAATTGCTTCTTCTGGGACTCTACTGAGCTTTAAAAAATGTTTTTGAAAATATTAACTTGGGGCCAGGCGGTGGTGGTGCATGGCTTTAATCCCAGCACTCAGGAAGCACAGCCAGGTGGATCTCTGTGAGTTTGAGGCCAGCCTGGTCTACAGAGGGAGATCCAGGACAGGCACCAAAACTACAGAGGAACCCTGTCTCAAAAAAACAAAAACAAAAATTAATTTGGGTGCTGGAGAGAGAGTTCAGCAGTGAAGATCACATAATGCTCTTGTAGAGGACCAGAGGAGTGCAGTTCCCTGCACCTACATTAGGCGAGACTCAACTGCCTGTGACTCCAGCTCCAAGATCTACCAACCTCTTCTGGCTTCTTTGGGTACTTGTACTAATGTACACATAACCCCTTCCCACAAAATAATAAAACAAATAGCTTAAAAACAACAACAACAACAACAACAACAACAACTTAACACGGGGTAGGGTAGTGCCATCAGACTGCTGTAGAGTTCCATGTTCTAAAAATTACTAAGAAATCCTTGAATAAGTCATTTAAAGCACTATTTGCTAACTTAGAGAATCTTTCTAAGTATATATATATTTGGACACCCTGGAAATTTAATCTAGGGCATCATGCATCTGAATAAGTACTCTACCACTGAATTAAGAGTCCCAGGCTACAGTCTTCATGTAATTTTTTTCTGCTCTCTAAAAGAAAATTAAACATTGTATCAGAATACTTACTTCTTGCCTTCTGTATTCCAGTACCAGCTTTTTTTCCCTTAAAAAAAAAAAAAAAAAAAGAAAAGATGCAGTGAAAATACAATAACTGTAGACAACTGTTCCGTACCTTCAAGAGAAAAATCCACAGGGAAAATACTGTACACAAAGTACATGGTTATTGTTCAAGGGGGAAAATCTTGTTTCTTAAAATCAATTCAATCAAATAAACTGAACAACACTCAAGAACTAAAGATCTTGATTATCTATATAGAAGTCAGTCCTATTTTGCATTCTTTATTGTGGTGCTGGTATTGAACATGGGCCTCACAGTCCTGACTGTATCTTTATCCCTTGCATTCTAGATTAAGTTTTAGCCTTCAACATGATTTAATAAGAAAAGGTACAGTTAACAGTTGAGACCTATATGAAGCAAATACTTATAATCCACTTATAACTAAACTCTAGACAGCATTCAATAAGCAACTGGGTAGGTACCTAAAAAATTTAAGGAGTAAGTAGATTGCGAAGCTGGTGTTAAACTTGGACTTTCAGTCATGAAGGTGTCTGAGTAAATGACTCAAAAATTACACTAACTTCATCTTTCTCACCAGAGAAAAAGCAAAAGAGACTCCAGGAGCCCAAAGAAGCCCCTGAATTGTTTCTTCCAGTTGTCCCGAGGGTGTAAATGCAGTATGGGCAGTAGCGTAGGCAGTATGAGAAATGCCCAATTTCTTATTACAGGAGCTGGCAAAGGGACCTTTGAACAGAGGATTCAAGGAGCAGGCTGGAAAGGGGCACCCCCAATTGCTTGTGTAAATCCACACATGTGCTGGGCATAACTCAACTTTGCACATGCTATCAATAGATCCAAAGTACAAGACAAAAAGGGCTTTGGAAGTGGAACTAAGATTTGAATCACTGACCAGATCTCAGACTAACCCTGTGAGCAGTATGTGTGTAAGAAAACCCCAAGGCTGCATGCAAGTCTTTGAAAAACTGCAACAAATTAGAATGACCTCATAATCACAAAATTAAGACAGAATAAAAAGTGGATGGATATATCTGTTAAAACAACAGTAATGCCGGGCACAATGGCACACACTTTAATCCCAGCACTCGGGAGGCAAAGGCAGGTGGATTTCTGTGAGTTCGAGGCCAGTCTGATCTACACAATGAGTTCCAGGACAGCTAGAACTACATAGAGAGACCCTGTCTTGAGAAAAACAAACAAAACAAAGAACAACAAAAATAGCAAAGCAAAACCAAAACCAGCTTTGCCTAACTATTATAATAGCCATGAAATCTGCAAAACACTGGCACTATCTTGTGCGTACTCAAAACTTACCTGATACATAAAAGCTTACACACATACCCCAACAGAAACTGTAGAACTGAAAAGTATGGCACTCATGATACTGTGGGGACTCAACACCAGAATGCAAACGACAAAGTGAAGTGCCAGTCAACACAGAGATAATGAGTAACCAACTGGAACGAAGGGGTGGGAATCAAAAAACAAAACAAAACAAAACAGGAAAATCAAAACTAACAGAACCTCAGATACAAGTCCTTAGTGTTACTGGAGTTGTGCAAAGTGTTAAGATGCCTATCACACTACATAAAACTACCCAAATTACCAAACTACGTTTGTCTCCATCACTTTTTATTTACTCTATTAACTTCATTTTCTTTATATCCAAGCTATTTAAGGATTGAATGATACAAAAGCAAACCACATAAGAATGGTCTGAGGAATAAGAGAAAGCAGGAAGAAGTGAAGAGATGAACAGAGTTCAAGGAAGAGATGGACAACATCAGGAAAACCAACACAGCTGGCTTTCAAAGGTATCAAAAGGATCTGGTAAACTGCTTAGGCGTTTTATACCTTTTCAGTTGAAAATAAGGAAGGAGTACAGGAGTAGACATCTGTGAAACACTGAGAAGATGGACTATGAAGACTGAAGAGTAGACAGACGGAGTGTGAGATCAACAGTCGAAAGGATAGAAAAAGGGTGACTCTGTACAGAGACTCCAGAGAGAAAGCAGAGGCCGCCAACACCGCCAGCAGAACACGAGGACAGCTACTGCGCAGAACCGGCACTAAAGGCCTTACACCAGACCAACTGGCTAGACGGCACACGACTGTGATAGACTGCCATTCAGAGCAAATGAAATGTGTATTTGAATTTTCTTACATATAGGTTAATCTGAGCATCTTTCCACAGAATAAACAAACAAAAATATCTATTAACAAACAACAGCAATAAAAAAAGATGAAAGAATGTACATCATTACTCCAGAAATAATTTTCACTTCATGAATGTAAGTTTCAAGTCAAATGATACACAAACATTACATAGGCTTACCCAAAAAATATTTTGACAAAGTATTTTTTGACTTATTAGGAAATTACTCATAGATATATAAATAAAAAACTAAGCTATCACTTTGAACAGTGCTTTAAAAATAAAGAAAACAACATACCGTATCCCTCACAGAAGTACTTGATTTCTTGAATGTACATAACTCTTTCTTCTTCTGTTCAATGTAGTATCTAATGTCTTTATTGAAAGAAGGACCGAGGATTAGCAATTTTACCTTTGGAGTTAAACAATGATATCTTAAGTGGCAGCAAGCTTAGGTTAACAGTTTGCCATTGGAGGTACCTCTACTATCAAAACTTTTACTATGTAAAGTTAAACTAAGAGACAGACAACAAATATTGTCAAAAGATCCTTACCATCAATATGAAGAATCTTCACTCCCCATGATAAGGCATTTGATAATATGCTATTAGCAGGAATAAAATCCTGTAAAACAATAAAAAACTAAGTTGGTCTAAAAATTACTTTAAAAAAGCTATATAAATGCTAAACCACTGAAGAGCTTATGCATAAGTGTCCCTAAAGAATGACAACAGTAATGAGGACTTTGTCTTATATTTTGGCATTCTTAAATCAATCCCAATTAATAGATTCCTATGTCTCACTTTGTAGCCCTGGCTTGCCGGGAACTCAGAAATCCACCTCTCAAGTGCCGGGAATAAAGGCATGCCCAATATGCCTGCCTGGCTTAACAATTACTGTACAGTCTAAGGCAAACTTTGGCTTTACACTAATATTTCAGATGGCCACAAGATGGGGATGTTTCTCCAGGAAAAGTAGCTTCTGCTTTGGACCGACTGAGATGATGCCTTGATTTAAGCTTTTCTCATTAAAAACTAAAGGACAGCTCTAGAACATCTGCACTTTAATGAAAAATTCTGTGTGTGGTGTGTACATGTCTGTGTGGCATGCAGAGGCCTGAGGTCAACGTCAGGTGTCTTTTTTCAATCACTCTCCACTTTTAATTTTTTAGACAGGGTCACTTGTTGAACCTGAAAGTCACTAATTTGTAGGGGCCCACAGAAGCTCCCTAGTAAGGCCTTATTCAAGGTCAGAGAATCGGAGCTTGCTTTGCTCAGCAGGGCTGCATAATGGGATGATTTGGTCAGGGGTGTGGTTACCAGGTGTTTTGAGGGGTCTACACTTGGCTGTATGTTGTAAGTTGATCTTGAAACGAGGAGGTCTTTTGCCTCTCCCCTTGGTAGTGTATAAAAACCCATTAGAATAAATCTCAGAGAGACTGGGTACTGACCCAGGGCCCTCCCGAAGCTATCCTGTGTCTCTGTCTTTCTTGTCATCTCATCTATCTTTCTATCTGACACTTCCTCATTCTTCTCTCCTCCCCACAAGAACCCTTCAACAGGTCGGAGCTGGTCTCTCATACTAATTCAGCTAGGCTGGCTAGTCAATTAGCTTTAGGGACCCACCAGCCCCACCCAACCGCCAAAAAAACTCCAAGGCTGGGGATTCGAGGCACCTGCTGCCATGCCTGGCTTTTTACTTTTTATGTGGATTCTGGGCATCCAGATTTAGTTCATGCGTTCATGGCAGGCTTTTTTTTACTAACTTTATGGCCAGTCCAAGTCAAATAATTTTTTATTACATTTACTTATTTTCCATGTGTTCATGTCTTTGTGTATGTGTGTGGGTGCACACATCACAGTGCACACCTAGAGATCAGAGGACAATCTGCACGAGTCAGTTCTTCCCTTCCACCATTTGGATCCTGGGTATCAAACTAAGGTCAGTAGTCTTGGCTTTACCCACTGAGACATCTACCCAGCCTACAGTTAAATTTTTAATAAAATATAGCTGGGTGTGGTAATACCTATCTATAATGTCAGCACTTGGAAGTCAAGCAAATCTGAGGCCAGCCTGAACTACATGAGACTCTGTCTCAGCAAATCAGACAATAAAGACGTAGAATATGCACTGCATGTGTTTTCCCTGCCTGTCTCTGCATGACAGGGTCTCCTGCCCTGGCTGGCTTCCCTAATGCTGCTCTGCCTGGCTTATGAAGAGCTGGGGTGGATCCTAGGACCGAGTGTATGCTAGACCAGCCCCATCCCAATGAGCTCTAGCTGCACCACACACTGTGAACTTCAAGTTCCTACTCACATGATCCTTGACAGCTTTCTCAGCTAACAACTTTCCTCGGCTCAGACACACCTGCACAAAGACCAAGATGACAAACAGTTACAGAAAGGGCTAGAAAGAGGAAATCATTAAAGTAGGTAAATTTTGTTTATATCAAGCCCCAATGGCTAGAAACACAGCAAATACATGGTCAAAAGTGACTTCATTATTCTCTTGGTAAGACAGATTAGTAAAAAATTCCTTTTCCTCTTTTTCTTTTTTTCTAGTGGAGAAAACAACAAAACACACCAAGAACAAAAAGAAACTGAATGAGATCCCAGAGGGTCAACTGTTTAGTAAATGTAACAAAGATGAAAATAGCTAGTATCCACTGCAATTTTAAATCTACAATTGTCAGGTTAACATTTTAGATTTTAGTCTTTCCTTTTTGGTGATACATTCTAGCAGCCACCCTACAACCGAGCTCTGTCTCCAGTGCTTCTAACACCGTAACTTTAGATGTGCTCTCACTAAGTCGCCCAGGCTGGCCCTGAAACTGCAATCCTCTTGCTTCACAGTCCCAGGAGCGGGGATAGCAGGCCTGGCTTAGTTCTGTATTGACTGAAGAGTCAAGAAAAATAAACTTGATACACAACTTCTTATAAACTACCTCACTTTTAAACTAAGACAGCATGGAAAGTTGCTGAAAGGCTATGAACAAATCGAGAGCTTGTTGCTGGTACACGACCTTCTCCCCAAAGAGCACTAACGCACAAGCCCGCCGCCTCCTCTTCCCAAGTGATCTCCGATGTAACTCCTGTTTCCTTTTTCTCTGTATGGAAACTGCTTTCCATAAGGCTATCACAGATAAGGAAGGCGTGGCAACTTAATTACATGTCAACCTAACAATTTAGATCCATTAAGTGTTTTATCTCTCACTCTCTTCTCTAAGTATTTCAATCAATCAGTTTGTCCTTCCTTTTGTCTTCCAACTTCACGGCAATGAATTGACAGGGATTTACCGCCAGTACCTTTTTAGCCTGGATTTTAACCTATCTCATCACACACACATTTTCTATCCGTCACAAAATATTGTGATTTTCCCACCAAACCCTGGATGTGTAAAATTATGCCCAAATTGAGAGTGTGAAATTGGCAGTAAGCTGGAACTGGTCGATTTGCTTTTCTCTACTTTGAAAATTTTATGTTTCTATTTTTTCTTCAAAAGAATGACTAGCTATTAACTTTCATTGTAAAGTATTCTAAAAGTAAAAGTTACCCCCTAAAGTACAAGTACACTTTAGGAGTCAGGGCACAACTTGACTACACTGTATTATTAAGGAAAAATTATTACCTTTCAAAACGACAGCCAACGTTATCAACAGTGAGAAAGCACAGAGCTTTGCTTTATTCTAACCAATCCATCTACATGCTATAAGCCTGCTACTGAAAGCCCAGAGTCAGGGGTGAGGGTAAACATCTATAGACTCAGTACCTGGGAGACAGGCCGGAGGGCTGAGAATTTTGAGGTCAGTCTGGGCTATGTAGGGAGTTCCAAACTAGTTTCAGAGGGCTACAGCGAGAGCTTGTCTCACAACAAGGAAACCATGAGATCCCCTTTTCTAGAGTCTCAAAGCATGTAGAGCACACTTACTCTGTCTGGAGACTTAAAGGAACTTCCATCATGGCTAGGATGAGGTGAGGTGGTTTCTGCAGTATACGCAGATTCTGGACTTGGTACAGGAGAATTTCGACCCAATGTTTGTGCATATTTTGCTTCCTTTTTATTTGAAACAAGATAACTGATATCTTTGCTGAGAAATTCTTCAACTCGCTACAAGAAAACAAAGTATTTTCAATAAAAACTCCAAAGCTAATTAAAAACACTGCAAATTCCAATTTGATGTAATCTAGTATCTCACAAATTGGTAACTGAAAATTACCAGTAGTTCTGAGAAAGTAGGGGTTCCATTAACAGTATAATAATGTCATGTGCTAACTACTATTCTTAAGTACTTTGTCCTAATTAATGTAGTCCACGTACTCCCATGGCAATTATCTGTGTATATGGAGATGAAAACTGAAGTGACTTGCTGGAGTCATTCATACCAACCAAGTTTCCTACAGAGATGAACTGTTCCTTGCCTGCACCACGTAACAACATTCTACAAACCTGCTACATGCGGTGACTAAGCGCCCAAAATGTAGTTATTATAGCCAGGTCACTGAATTTTAAATTTTACTTACTCTTAATGAATTAGCTACTATCTGGTACATCACAGTTCTAAAGCATTAAGTTTATAACATTTTCTAAGACTTAAACTTAGAAGAGAAAACTTTTACTCAACAAGGCTAAAATTGTTAGAAGAAAATGCCCTAACATGCTTTATGGGGACACACACATAAAAGTGAATGTTATTAAAACGCACACCATATAAATAGAGCTTACACGGAAGACTAGGGAATTAGTAAAAGCTCTGTCTAATTCCTACAGTCACACTATGAATAGCAAGGTCTGTCAGCAAGATGCCTCAATAGGTTGGTGCCGATCTGAGTTTGATCACCTGGACTCACAGGGCAGAAGGAGAAAAACAATCCCTGCAAGTTCTCCTCATGCGCGCACACTTACATGTGCACACACACACACAGAATAAAAATTGTTTAAGATGCTAAAACCAAAATGAAGCAAAGCTTGTGATAGCTAAGTTAATTTAAGCTACATTAACTCAAAATTGGCTGTTGACAGGAGCAACCTTAGTGAAATGCAAACTGTTTTCTTTTTCCCCCAGGCAACACTCATTTCCACTGACCAGCTAATAAAGTATTCACATTTATTCCAGAAAATGAGTCTTGTATAAAGACAGGAAAGAATGTAAATAATAATTTATATATAAAATACTGTCTTAAACTGCATCGTCTCTAGTAACCCTTTTTCAGTGTGTGCGCGCGCGCGCGCACACACACACACACACACACACACACGGTGTATGTATGTATGTACACTAGTTTAACATTTTTTTTTTGAGACAGGGTTTCTCTGTGTAACCTTGGCTGTCCTGGAACTCGCTCTGTAGAACAGGCTGGCCTCAAACTCACAGAAATGCCCCACCTCTGCCTCCTGAGCGCTGGACTAAAGGTATGTGACAGCACCACCCAGCTTTGTTCAACTATTTTAAGCGTAACAATTCAGAGGCAATCCCCACCTTTATAATGCTATACAACCACCACTACTATCCATTTCTAGAACATTTTCATTCCAAATTTAAATCCTTTAATCCTCCATGTCCTCATGCTGATACCCTCTACTTTACTTTGTCTCAATGAACCTGACTATTCTGGAACTTCACTGCTATAGTTTGAATGTTCCCACTTATATTGTAGAAATTTAATTCCAGTTGTGAAGTATTAAGGCGAAAACACGCTTGAGAGACAGCTCAGCAGGTAAGAGTACTGGCTGCTCTTCCAGAGTACCCCGGTTCAGTTCCCAGCACCCGCATGGTGGCTCACAACCACCTGTAACTTCAGTGCCAGGGGATCGGATGCCCTCTTCTGACCTCTTCAGGCCCTGCATGCATGTGGTACACAGACATATGCAGGAAAAACACTCAAACACTTGAAATAAAAATAAATAAATAAACAAATAAATAAAATGGTGAAAGCACTCTGCAGCAGTGGCTCTCAGCCCGTGGGTCATGACGGGGGGAGGGGGGGGGGAGATCACATATCAGATATTTACACCACAATTCCTAACAGCAGCAAAATTACAGTTATGAAGTAGCAATGAAACAACTGTAAGGTTGGGTCATCACCACAACATGCGGAACTGTATTAAAGGGTCATAGCATTAGGAAGGTTGAGAACCTCTGTTCTATGGTCTTTGGAGATAGACTCTGAAAGTTAGACAGACCATAAAGGCAGGATCAAGCCCCAGCTACTGCTCTGGCTATACAAAAGAAAGAGAACTAAAACCGGATGATCAGTCAGTCATTGTATTGTTACCTTTCTCATTGGCTCTAATAAATACCTCACAAAAGCAACTTAAGGAACAAAAGGTTCGTTCTGGCTCAGGATCTGAGGGAATATAATCAACCCAACACAGCAGAGAAGGTGTGACAGTGGGAGCATGAAGTGGCTGATCACAGTAAGTCATGAAGCAGAGAAAGATCAATGCTGGCGCTCCGCTAGTGTTCTCAATTTCATTCAGTCCAGAACATCAGCTCATGGAGTAGTACTCCTTTCCTAATTCGCTTTCTGTTACTGTGCTAAAACACCAGCCAGAAACAACTTGGAGAGGAAAGGGTTTATCTCAGCTGATACTTCCAGGTAACAGTCCATCATCTAGAGAGTGCTTCTCAATCTTCCTAATGCTGCAACCCATTAATAATACAGTTCCTCATGGTGTGGTGACCCCCAACCATACAATTATTTCATTGCTACTTTATAATTGTAATTTTGCTACTGTTATGAACTGCAATGTAAATCTGTGTTTTCCAATGGGTTAGGGGTCTTGACCCACCAGGTGAGAACCACTGATCTAGGAGAAGCCAGGGCAGGAGCCTGAAGGAACTGAAGCAGAGACCGTGGAGGAATGCTGTTCACCAGACTGCTGCTCAGCCTGCAGATGTCCACATCTCTTTGACACCCTGCTTTCAATTCTTTCAGATATATATATACACTAAGAAACCTTTTTTCCTGAGACCACCCATACGGTCTGCAAAGCTGTTGCCTCATTTTACATTCCCACCACCAGTGGACAAGTAAAAGACTGTGAAAGTTAACACTTATTTTCTGGTTTTTTTTTTTTTTTTGTCAGTAGCTAATGTCATTACTAAGGTTTAGATTTGCATTTACCTGATGATTAGAATGCTGTGGGCTACTGGTACATCTTTTTTGAATGTCTATTCAGGCCCTCACCTATTATTTATGTTTATGTGTATGAGGGTTTGCATGCATATATACATATATGCACATACATATATGTGTATGTATATCTGTGTGTGCTTAGTGCCTGCTGAGGCCAGGAGGGTGTCAGGTCACCTAGAACTATACACAGATGATAGTGAACCACCATGTGGGTCCTGGAAACTGAACCCAGGTCCTCTGTAAGAACAAGTGCTTTTAACTGCTGAGCCATCTCATCTCTGCAGCCCGCTTCACCCATTGAATTATCCTTCTGTTGTTGAAATGCAGGTATCCATGTATTCTGTACATAAATCACTTATTAGATATATGATAAACCATTTTGCTTTGAAACAGGACTCAGAGTCTATGATGACCTTGACCCATGGATGACCCTGAATGTCTCGATTCTCTTGCCCTTACCTCCTGAATGTTCTGATGCCACTGCCACACGTCTGTGCCACTGTTTGCATTTTATGCAATGGAGGACTGACCCCAGAGCTCCATGTAGGCCTAGCAAGCACTCTTATCAACTGAACGAACATGAATGATTCACAAAATATTCTCTACCATTTGGTGGGTTTCTTGTTAATGTCCTAGGAGAGGATGAGTTGTTCATTTTAACTAAGTTAACTTAAGAGTCTTTTAAAATTGCTGCCGATGAGTAGATATAATTTTGGTATTACTGAAATCACTGCAAAAACTCAATATTATAAATATTTCTTCTAACATTTTCTAATTATTTAGCCTCTTACAGTTATATCTTGGATCCATTTTGAGTTAATTTTTTTGCATATGATGTAAGGTAAATGTCCAAACTCATCCTTTTGCATGTAGATATCCAGCTCTCCTGAAAATGACTTGTCATTTAAGAAACAAAAACAACTAACTATATATAAAATAGTTTATTTATAAGCTTTCACTCATTGGCCTGCATGTTACACTACTATAATACCATAAAATTTTCCCAGTTTTACATTTCTTATAAACCAAGTTAAAACTCCTTAATGTAAGAGCTGAGATGGCTCAGCTGATTAAGCCCTTACTACACAGAAGACTCTGGATTCAGCGCACTGCATGTACATGGCAGCTCACAACCATCCATAACTCCAGTTCTAGGGGGTCTGATGCCCTCTCCTGGCTTCCTTGGGCACCCATGATGTTTTGTGTACACACACCTTAAAATCAATAATAATAAACACCTTCTGTGGTAGTTCTGGGCACAGTATAATACACAGAGAAACTGTCTTAAAACTCAAAAATAACATTACCACAAAACCAAAAGGAAACCAAACCAGAAAACCACCTCTGCTGGGTGTAGCAACAGCTCAGGTCTCTGTTATTTCAACACTGGGGAAATGAAGACGGAATATTATAAGGTTCTAGGCCAGCCTGCGGTATAAAGGATGATCTGTCCTAACACAAAGCCATGTCCACCCTCACCCCCTCAAAAGCCCAAACCTACTCCTCTATCCTTCATAATGTAGGAAATGTCCTTTATAATTTGGTTCTAACGTAACTGATTACTGCCACTTCCATATCTAAATTTCAATCTCAAGGTATGTTGTAGCACCATCAGGTACACAGACACACCTATACAGGCACACATCATAACTAAGTTCTTTCCAAAAGTTATGCACAGTGTATTAAGTACATCCCTAACAGACCTTTAAGACCCAACCCAAACTTTAACTGTGCTGATTCATATTGGCAAGTAGGCATTTTCATCTGTGTCCTAAAAGCAATTTCTACATATTCTATTAAAGAATTCACAGGGCTGTTCTATAATGACTTAGTTATTGTGCCCACACAATGTCCTCTAAAATTCTTCAGCTGGAAGTAATCTCCCCTTTCCTTTTATGTTATATTATAATCAACTGTACCCATGTGTTGTGTAAGTTTCCTAGAGGATTGAAACAGTTCATCCTACAGGAAGCTCCTTAAGCAGGAAGGTAAACAACTCAAAATAGCTTCAGGAAGTCTCAGAAACTGACCAGATTCACTAGGCCCCTCCCTGATAGAGCAAACAATAAAAGCTGAGTGTTCCTCTCGGATGAAAGGAAGTGAAGTGTAAAGACTCTCAAAGTAGAAAGCTGCAAAGACTCTGAGACCAGACCAGCTGCCTGGAAGAAGCAGAAACCAGCTAAGCTTCCTGGAAGAGGTTTAGACCAGTTACTTGGAAAGGACACTCTCCAACCTCCTGAGCTGCCTGCAGGCTGGGCAGTGTGCTCCAGGTTTCCCAGCTTTTGTGAGCTGTCACTCACACTGGGGTGGGGCTTGGTGAAGCAGCTATCTTTGAATCATTTCTGCTCCTATAAGTAATCCCAATAAAATTCATTAATTCACCAAGTTATACTTTGGTGGTATCCATATTTTGATCTGTCATGGGATCCCTACCTGGGATGAATAGATGTGTGTTGTATCTCCCTAGGAAAAGATTTTTCACACAAAACCATGCCATCTCTATCTAGATTAGAGCTTCAGGAAAGACAGGCACAGGATTTATTTTTGAGCCTAACAAAACACAGTACCATGCCCTGCAAACCATACTCAGATAACTGCTCAATTATTGTGGTGATATTTTATTTGTGCTCTAATAAATAAAGCTTGTCTGGAGATCAGAGGAAAAAGCCAGCCATTATATTAAACAGACATCAGGCAATGGTAGTACCCGCTTTTAATCCTATCATTTGGCAGGCAGGAATCTGTCTGGATCTCTGTGAGTTCAAGGTCACACTGGAGAACAGAACTAGGCATGGTGACACATGCCTTTAATCCCAGTACCAACCAGAGGTCTGGAGGGCTGTACAGACAGACAGGAAGTGACAGAGCTGGACAGGAAGAGGAAGTGATGTAGCTGGGCTGAGAGAGTGAATGAGAGAACAGAACAGAAAGACATACAGATGTGGGAAGACAGGAAGTAGCTCACATTTGGAAGCTGTGGAGATGGTGAGGTAAGATTAGCTGTGGCTTTCCCTATTTTCCTGATCTCTCAGGTTTTCACCCCTATATCTGGCTCAGAATTTTTTATTTAATAAGACCGTTTAGCAATTCGTCTACAAATTATAGTTTTACCATGGTTTTCAATTTACTGGAAATTGTTGGCCCCTGTCTTAATGGCTAAACACAAAATTATACTTAACTCTGTCCTCAGGAGCACAACATAGTAAGGTTGGAACATAGCCCAGGAATGGAGTCACATGAGAATTCTGAGTGCTAGTGAGAAAACTCCAAAAAATAAAATAAAATAAAATAAAATAAAATAAAATACAACAACAACAACAACAAAAACAAGTCTTGTGACCTCAGTTTCTTCAAAACACAGAATTGTTCTTGGAATGTGTTTTCATGCCCCTCCAGGTGTAGCGGACAGGAGAGAGTTACTTCAGCTGTTAGTCATGTGCCTCTCTGGAAAAACATGGTTTTTCCACATGTGGCTTATCCTTATGGATGTGATTTTTTTTTTTCTTTTTAATTTGGTTTTTCAAGACAGGGTTTCTCTGCGTAGCTTTGCGCCTTTCCTGGAGCTCACTTGGTAGCCCAGGCTGACCTCGGCTCCCGCCTGGCTCTACCTCCCGAGTGCTGGGATTAAAGGCGTGCGCCACCACCGCCCGGCATGAATGTGATTTTCTTAATGAAGGAACTCTAGCCAGCCAAAGAATGGCAAACATGGCTCTGGCAGGCCCCGCCCTTCTCCCCCATTCCCTGGCCTTGCTAAAAACCATTAGATTACATCCCTAAAGCCAGCCACCAAGATCTATTCCCTTATTTGGCCACTCCCTCCTCTCCTGAGGCTGACTACCAAGGTTCAGCTGTCAAAGTATTAAAGTCCAGCAATCAGAAGCCCCCTTTGGCTCTCCTAATTAACATGCCCAGTTAAAATTAAAACACTCATCCCAACACAGGGTTTCCCCTTGTACCTTTATTTTCCTACAGGCCATATCTGTCCCCTCTCTATCCAGAGGTAGTCCTTTATCGTGCCCACCCCTTCTCCTTTGTCCTCTATCTCCTGTTTTCTCTTTTATTCCCTGCCCTCTGTCCCTCTGAGGGAAATAAATCTCCTTTGTGCTGAGAACTTGGTCTTGGGGTGTCCTGAGCAAACAATGGTCCCTTTCACTTAACCCTCAGAGTATAAGTTGCCTGGTGCTCTGAATAAAGTTGGCTACTGCACGAGACTTTAGTCCACCTCATTAGTAGGCCCTGCTCTCCCAGTTCCATGCTGCCAATAAAGTGGTGACCATCACCCTTATATTTATCTTTCTCCAATTGTTTTACTCTAGTCCAAACTGTTTAGAAATGGGCCGGCCTATCCTTCCTTCTGTTTTTCTAAATAGGGTCTTACTACATAGCCCAAGCCACATGAGCTTTTGAACTCATGATCCTCCAGCCTTCCCTAAACCCTGAGATTAGAAGCATATATGCCAGCAAGCCTGGCTCTATGTCCTTACGTGGTTTTGATTTAGCTACTTTTCTTAACAGTATAAAACAAAGTTTGTGAAAGCTGACTGCAATTTAATTGTCATGAGTATCCTGTGCAAATGAATAGGATACTAACATGCTTTCATTAAGACTAGAAAATAATACAGAATTGGTCAATTAAACAATGACATTATTGGGATGATCTGAAGCAAAAAAAGTAATAAAAAGGATAGAAAGGTTATATAAAACTAGGAACTGGGGAAAAACATAACCTTTTAAATGACTACTTGACAAAATTAGTGTTTGGACCTAGGAAGTGAATTGACATCATTGAGTTATATAGGAAAGTTAAGACCACAACTAAGTACCTTTTTTCCAATAAGAATGTTAGTAAAGTGTGGAAATTGGCTTTCTCTTTTCACCATATGGGTCCCAAGGATCACAATCAGGTTGCCAGGTTTGGCAGCAAACGCCCTCCCTTACTGGCAAGCTACCTCACTGGCCCAGTACTTTTTTTGCTGGGGGGAGAGTGCAGATGCAATCTCCAATAACAAATTGTGCAGCAGAGCTCTTTGCATTTAGGAAATCACAGGGTCGGGACAGATGTACTGTACTATGAGTGCTATGTAAGAGTGCCATGGATCAGCCCTACCATGGGAGAATCACCTTCGTGATCATGGTAACTCCCCTGCCACATAAGTATAAAGCTTACGCTTCTTATATGTCCACTGAGATACTCGAAACCATTTGATGGTAAAATTTGACACATATAAGAAAATCAAAATCTTCCTTAACTACTATCTATGGCAGAAGTAATTCAAATGCTGTTTCTTGAAAATACCTTAGAAAGTGCCGTGAAGATGGGAGAAAAAGAAACGAGCAGTGGAAATGATTCCTGTCCCAGTGGTCACATTGCTAATTGACTCAAAGCTTCCTTTTCACAGGTTTCCCACACTGGATTTATAGATATACCATTATCTGAAGCACCTACTGCTAAAAACAAATCCAAACATCAGTGAATCGAACCGAAAGTCAACAGAGTGAACAACACACCTGAGAAAGCTACCAAGCATCCATTGGCCACTGACAGCTAAAAGAAAGAATGGCGGCATGCCATGTTTCTCTGGAACTAGACCAGCAGACAGCACTTCATTCTGAAACGGGGGTCTTCACACCTATCTCGGGCAGTAAGCACATTACCATACCCTTGACAGGCCACACAGTCAATGGTGGCAGGTCTATCAACCATGACCTCTAGAAGTGCAGCCATATGGGCCATTATGATAAATGCCACCATAAATACGTGATAATGAGTCAACAAAATGAGTATCAGAAAAGTAGGATGTTCAGGGGAGTTGGAAGGGGCCTAGCTATGAAGGAGAGTGAGCAAGAGAGGAACGAGAAGGAAGGGTATTAAGGGGTAACTGATTACATTAAAATTTGTATATGAATGTAATCGACAAAAAAGAAAAAAATTCTATTTACCAACCCCCCCCCCAAGAAAAATAGAAAAATTTCAAGGGCAGGTAAGTAGAATATCACATTAACAAATAATTCAAAGAAATCTGTGAAATACTCTTCTGAATTTCCAGACTAGAAATGTCAACTTTCAGAAACTCAAAATTCCAGTCCAGCAGAAACCTTTGAAACAGTAAAAATACTAATACCCTCATTTGCTAGAATTTAGGTAATATTAACATTACAACTAAGAAATCTTTTAGAATTTGCCTAAGTTTTCTAATCATCTAAGTAATGTTTATAACAGGGAAGACAGTTTAACTATTACTCCAAACTGTTCCCTCAATAATGGGCTGCTGTTGACTCAGTAGTCTCTCTCTCTCTCATGGGCTGCTGTTGACTCAGTAGTCTCTCTCTCTCTCTCTCTCTCACACACACACACACACACACACACACACACACACACACACACACACACGAGTACATTATAAAAGTCACATCATAGATATATCACTAAAGAACTATTTTAACACATAACAGCCCCTCAGTAATCAGTCAAGTAGTTCCTGCTGATTTGGAAGGCAGTTCACTAGGACAAAGGACTCTCTTTCCTTTATTCTTAACCACTCATCACAGAAACATTTTGTCAGGTTACAAAAGGCTAAAAAATGTGTTTTGTCCTTTGGTGTTGGGACTTGAACACAGAAAATCTTGCACATGCCCAGTAGGTGCTCAACCACTGGACTACACTCCCAGTCCCCAAATAATTCATTAATAATAAACAATTCATAGTTTTTAGGCTGCTATTCACTAAATGGCTATAGTTTGCCAAAATGAAATTCTTTAATGATTTCATATCATAAGGTGCTAGAGTAATTTTCTACTCTCTGTGAGCGTGCAGTTTTCACTTACCCCGCCAAGATCCTTTATGTCTTTTTGGAGTTTTTCACATACGGTGATAGAAGGCAAGTCAAGGTAAAATATTTTTCCACAAAGAGGCTTATATTTCGATTTTTCCAGTCTATTATCAGTTTTCAGGGATTTCAAAGACGGTCTGTTCTTTTCATTTTTGTCCTGGATGCCACCTGTGATTACAAAAAAGAATCAGGTAATCAGGTCTGCTTTATGCAGACAAAAATTTACCTGCTTAGAAAACATTAAACGACCTTACCACAGAAAGGAAAATTATTAGTCACACCAACTTAAGTAGTTAGAATCTAAATGTATTCCTGAATATCACCACTTAGGATGAAGGCAAACTGCCCTGTATGGTTTCCATAAATTAATTCTATAGTGGAGAACAGGAGCTGAATCAGCAGAAAGTAGACATTATTTATTCCTGTTTATGTATGAAGGGAACTCTATAAAGCCTTTCTGAAAAACTTACTTTCTCAGGATGTAAACTTCACGGGAGTATTTACTTATTGAAGTCAGCAGTTCTGTGAAAACTCAACACAGGTGTTTCCAATTTTAAAACTTTATTTACCTCGGCAAAAAAAAAAAAAAGTATCTAGAATAAACAACCCAATCCTCAAGGGTTACTTACTGAGTGCTCAAATTGTGGTTTCATAGTTTTGTCTAGTCCTAAAAAGAACTAAACGATCTAGTTCATGCACTCTGTTTACATATTAAGGACTCAGGCCCACTAAGGACATCGCCATTTATCTCCTTCCTTCTATTTTAAAAGCAGATGAGAATTAAGCAACTTCTATCAACTTTTCAAAAGCAACCTGCATTTTATGGCCTGGTTAAAAGACACACATGTATCTTCTCAGGAAAACTTTTCATCGTGAATTTTTATTTTTATACGACACAATGCAACTGAAATAGGAACCTGTTTTTGTCTTCAGGTGTCTAGGAGGTTGAAATCAACACGGCGAGTTACACACACACAAACACTGCTTTAATTACGAGGGAAGGAGCTAACAGCCGCAAACGGAGCGGGCGCCGCGGAGGGGCGGCGCGGCCGGCTGTCCGTCGGGGACCCGCGCATTGTCTGCAGCTCGCAGCCCCGGGGATGGGGGACGGCAGCTGCGGCCGGAGGGCACGAGGGGCCCTGCCGCAGACCCACCGCCTTCGGGGCGCCCAGAACCCACGCAAGTGCAGAAGCAGCCGAGGCCCCCGCGGGAAGCCTCGCTGGAACCCACCGTGGAAGCGGCCGAGCAGGAAGGGATTAAAGGGACGGCGGCGGGGGAGGGGCTCCGTACCGGGGAGAGGCGCTTTGCTGTGGATCCGCATGGTCTCCAGGTTCATGGCAGCCACCGGGCACCTACATGCTGGGTCCGCACCGGGCGCCGCACGGGACGGCCGCGAACACGGAGCTCCGAGGCCCGGCCGCCGCGCCCGCGGGCCGACGTCCACGGCCGGTTCCGGCGCCGAGCCTCCGAGCAGGAAGGGGCTGCAGCACCGACGTGCGAGCCGCGGCGGTTAAAGATTTGAAAACGCGTCACGCGGCCGCGACGCCCAGGCGACGCGCTCCCCGCCCTCCCTACGCCGGGCCGGCCTCGCGCAAGCTCCACC